CTCCGAGCCGGGCCCAGAGGCGGGGCGGGGCTCAGCTGGCCGCTCGCAGGTGGCCAGCTGTAACCCGGCCTTGCCAATGCAGATGTTTAAGACTTAAGGCATTTTTAGTTTGCAATCTATTACTCGTGCTATTAGTCACACTAACCAGCATAAGGTCCTTTCTTCGATGCATTTCAGGTTGTATTTGAAGGCTGGCTACTGAAAGGCCTCAGATTTCCGACTTTGTGCAAGACTTAGCTCAGTTCAGCTCTGTAATCCCTTCTCTTCAGGAACTAGATTCTCTGGAAGCAATTGTTTCTTTTTTCCATATATGCAAAGAAGAAAGTCTTCGCTACCATTTTTCCCTAAGGCAAAATCAAGAAGAACAAATGAAATATTTATTGAAACTTTAATATCTGCTTGGAGCCTAGAGCACTGGGAGAAACTTGCCTTCTAATTGTTTAACTTAGAATGCATGCGATTGATTTCAGAATGTGTGAATAAAAACCGTTAGGCTAACGGGTTTTGGGGTGTGGTTTGGGGGTTGTGTGTGTGTGTGTGTGTGCCATGGATGGAACTCAGGACCTTGCACTGGCAAGGTGGGCACGCGGTGGCACTGAGCTAAATCCCTGGCCATAGGGTAACAGTTTGTTGTTGCCAGTTGCAATCTTATTACTTCTGACTCTTTGTTCTTAACAGGGTTCCTGTGTCCAAGGGCTGTGCAAGATGTTCAGACTTGGTAAGGAACAGGGAGAAACCACAGACGCATCTACTTATGTTTATTTTTATGGTAAAAGTGAAAGAAACTACAATGATGCAACACTTTTTGTAGGGCCCCACAAATGAATGGCCGCTCTGGGTGCAGGAGACAGGACAGAGGTACTCCAGGTAACGCCACTTCTCTCTTGTTGCTCAGCCTATTTCAAAATCCTGCATTTCGCATGCTACAGGCTGTCAGCAATGTGACTCGTTTTTTATTGTAATAAGCACCTAATGTTTTGAGTAATTTATACAATACTGAGCTCCTCCGTAGAAATAAGGACATGTCAATGAAAACCATCTGTTCTTTGATGTCTTATGGCAAAGTACTGAAGAACGCTCTTCAGTTTGGAGAAGACAAACAATGAGGCTGTTCAAAGCAGCCAAGGCGGATGCCTCTCCCATGGATGTAGACACAGGTCACCTTCCTGCAGGGGAACAGTCCTCACCAAGCAAATGTGCTCCAACCCACTGTGGTCCTCTCCCACAGGCCCCCATAGACCCCTTTCTCACCTGAGCATTTGCTTTGAACATTCTATCCCTTACCCCTCAACACTTCACCCTTTGTATTTCTTCACACAATATCTCTTGACGGACTATAACGGAACGCCCTCATTGAGTAACGAACCAACAGCTCTTCCTCTCAGAGAGAAGGCCTTCATTCCACAGTGTCCAGGCTCCCCTGAGCTACACTGGTTCTGCAGGGAATTCCAGAGGGGCCGTTTGTAGAGAATATGATGGGAATTGTGTGTCACAGAGTCGTGCAGCAGGCCAGACCCTGAAGGCTCTCCAAATGCAGGGAGGGAAAAAAATGGAAGAAATAGGGCAGGGAATTTAGCTCAGTGGCGCCATGTCTGCCTTGCAAGCACAAGGTCCTGAGTTTGATCCCTGGTACTGCAGTAATAAAAAAATTTTTTAAAAAAGGAAGAAATAAAGGGAAGGGAAGGAAGATAGGGAAGAGTAAAGCAGAAATAGAAAGAGGAAGGATGGCTGGGCGTGGTGATGACACATGCCTGTAGTCTTAGTATCCTGGAGGAAGTGGAGGCATGAGGATCATCTTGAGTTCAGCGGCTGCCTGGGAATACATAGCAAGACTGTGTCTCAAAAAATAAGAAGGAAGGAAGGAAACAAGGAGGATTGAAGGGAGATAATTGGCCATTTCAAAACAAGTATTTTCTCATTTTTGCAACTGAGGAATGATAAGTAAAATTCTAAATGCACAGGGGGCCGGGATGTCACTCAGTGGTAAAGCACTTGCCTAGCACTTGAACCTCAGGTTGAACCTGAGTTCAACCCCCAGCGCACATGCACTTGCACACACGTTCATGAACACACACATACACACAGCAGTGCA